TTGTTTTTTACTAAGCAATATCTAAGCTGTCCAATCCTGTATGCAGAAGCATGATGCTCGATGGGCTGTCTGGGCCTGCTGTGTGTAACAGTACCTGGAAGGCAAGTCACCTAAACTAACTTTCCAAATATTTCTTCTAAGAATGGCAGAGCTAAATGTCAGAGATTTCCTTTAGTCTGTTCACACTTCCTTTATCATCAGCTTTTACTGTGATGTTTGTTTCTCTTGGCCACTTCTGCTATTGTACCTCACTTCACTCCTTGCCTCAAGAGTCACTATGTGCTTCTCGATACTAGGAATACTAGAGAGGGGCGGGACCACGTCTGCCATGTGGATCTGGGATGGTGCCACCCTCTATCAACTCTTCTGAGCTCTACTGCATCTTAGTGGAGCAGACAAACTCATTCATTCAAAACACTCTTCTAAATGCTGTGGGATGGAGAAGAAACCACCCAGTCTATTTTATGAGGCTAGCACAAATCTGTTTTAAAGATCCAACAACAGAACACACTAACTCAGTCGTCAGATGAAGTACTGACTAGTAAGCTCAAGTTTGCATATTCTAGTTTGCATATGACTCTTGGGAACCATTAGCTATAGATCATGGTTGAAGACAGTGAACTGGATATATAATTAACCTCATTCCCTCCTGAAGCCTTGCTAGAGTTGATATGTATGCAGGAAATCATATCCTCCTTTTCAGGTTCTTGGTCTTGTTAATAAAAGACCCATGCAGAATTCCAAAAACAATTTTGTTAGCACTTTAAAACAAACAAACAAGCAAAGCAGGCCACCTATAAACACCAGCTGCTGCCTGGAGGAAGAGGATGGAAAAGAGAAGAAAGAAAAGAGGCCATGCTGCTTATGTTGGCATGGAGGCAGGATGCATGGCTGACAAGCAGCCACATGGCATAGAGGAAGGCATTGGAGGAAGATAAGGACATCCAAATCTGGGGAAACTCAAAGCGTTAAGGAACACAGAGGAGAGTTACAAGCTATATAGCTGTGGTCTTGCAAGCTATTGCACTAGGGGTGGGGATAAGAGAAGGAAAATAAAACATCTCATTAAAGTACTCATTATTGTGCCATTGAGCTCACCTTCCTAGGTGTGGTCCCTTATCCAAGTGAATGACCTGGCTGACTGGAATGTTAGTCTCCACTCAGGCTAGAGATCCTATTCTTTCTACCAGGAGATCTTTTTTCTGACTCTAACACAATGAGATCTCAAAGAAATAAAATGTTTGCCCGTGAGGACTGACAGGAGAAAGAGAAGTCCTCCCTGGGCAGGGGAGGTCAGCATTTAAGCTTAGAAAAGGAACAGGCTGATGAAGATCACTGGCACTGCAGACTAGAGAAAGTGACCAGCTCAATGCTATGGAGAGGAACCTCAGTGGCAAGTGAGGAGCTGACAGCAGCGGCCATAGAGCTTCCTAAAAGCTCAAGAGGCTGTCGCTACTGCTACCATCTTAAATGCTGGAGTAAGGGCTGAACCGGATGACCACACAAGGTTGGTCAAAAGCCTACAGATGGAGAACTTGGATCTCTCGGTTCCCTTTTCTGTCTCAGGAGACAAAAAAAGAAAAGAAAACCCACTTATTTTTGTAGTCACTAAACCAGGGGAGCTGCAGAGCCTCGTGTGCCTGGGAAGAGCCCATTTCCCAATGGATTGAAAAGGAAAGCATGATCACGAAGTTTAGTTATCATCAGCTTTCCACCATTGTAACAAATGCGTGAGATAACCAGCTTACAAACAGGAAGGGTTCGTTTTGCCTCAGGCTTCTGAGGGTTTGGTCCAGGACTGACTGCCTCAATTGCCTTTGGACCTGTGGTGAAGCATCACATTATGGAGGCAGCACAGAAGTGATCCCTCTGGCCCTGCATCCAGGAAAGGAGAGGGAGTTGGGGGGGGGGGGTTAGAGTGCCAGTGTCACTTTCAAGGACAAGCTCCCAGAGACATGTTCTACTTTTGCTAAACTCCACCTCTTAAAGGTCCTACCACATCCCCAGACCTCCAAGCTGGAGACCAAACTGTCAACATGGTTTCAGTACTAGAGTGCTTGCCATCCCAACAGCAACTGTAAGGGTCAGGTGGACCAGGGGCTAGTCATTCTCTGTTCCCAGTGTTCCACACCAATCAATTCATTTGATCTTCAAAACATCCCACTGGAAGGAGAAAGAGCAAGAACAAAAATAACCAAGACATGAGACAGAAAAAAAGGGGGGGAGACCCTACTAGATATTAATAAAGACGTCCTTAAAAACTGTGACCATTACAAGAATAGAATTTTAATATTAGGAAAAGGCTAATTACTTAGTTCCTATTTATAACTAATTGGCAAGTCAAGTTAATTAATTGAGCATATCACATTAATTAATACTAGAACAGGCATGCTAGATTGGAAAAATATAGCAGCTGACACTTTTACATGAGGATAAAAAATATGATTTTTTAAAAAGGGGCATTTCCAGCCCATAGGGGAAAATAATAATACAGTAAGGGGTGTTGGGATAATTGACTATATACACACTCAGAAAATACAACTTCCAGATGGGTTAAGGACAAATCTAATATTAAAAACATGTTTAGGAACTTGGACTAAGACAGGCCTTTGTAAATGAGACTCGCTTGGCAGCATGCTGTGCAACTTTGAATTCAGTGTTTAGTTTTCTGATGGTCCTTGGCTTTTGTTGTTGTTCTGTTTTTAACAAACAAATATAATACCAACAGGATAGAGATAAACATTAGACAGAGTGGGTAGAATAACAGAATTACTTCAAAATGCACTCTGATCCGTTAATCCAAATCTCACATAGTACGTGCTGCCTTGTGGTTTGTGGTTGCGTCCAGCTATGATTATCCCTGACCTGAAATTGTGTTTCTCCTGGTTACAGAATAGCCCACTCTAATACAAAGATCATCCCATGTTGAGTCCTGTGTCTCTGTGTCCCCATAAATGACAAGAAAGCATTCTCTCTCGACACTTTTTAAAGATTTAAGATGTTGGTATATGTATTTGTGTATGCCTCCTAAGTATGAGTGTCCCTGAAGGCCACAGAGGGTGTCAGATGCCCTGGAACTGCTTGCTAATGTGAGCTTCTGCATGTGGGGTCTGGGAACTGAACTTGGGTCCTCTTTGATTATAGCAAAAGCAATTAACTGCTGAGCTGACTCTCCAGCCTTCCTTTGATACTGTTTTACAAGTTCTTAGCCACTATCATAACTGCTTTAGAAGGCAATTGGATTACCAGTACAAAAAAAAAAAAAAAGACTAGAAGTCTAGGTTGTAGTGGTTCCTCTCTTTCATGGATCACACTCTTTCAAGGATTATCTAATTCAGTGGTTCACTTTTAGATGTTCCCTTCAATGCTGCACTAAGCGGAAATACTTTAGCAAGTAGAAGTGACTCTTTTATTTATTTGGGTCTTTTGAGACAGGGTCTCACTGTCCTGGAACTAACTATGAAGACCCAGATGGCCTCGAACTCAAAGAGAACCAATTGCCTCAGCCTCCCCAGTGCTAGAACTCGCTCTGTAGACCAGGCTAGCCTTGAACTCACAGAGATCTGCTTGCCTCTGCCTCAAGTGCTGGTATTAAAGGCATGTGCCACCGATGCCTGACCAAAGTGAACATTTTTAAGGTCTCTCATTCTCTCCACTTTCTCCACTTTTGATCCATTTATTTATTTATTTATTTATTTATTTATTTATTTCCCCCCTTTGGTCAGACAAAGGTATTTCACTGGCAGAATTGTCAGATTGGTGTTTGGGCTATTGTTTTTTCTTTCCCAGGCAACCAATCCCCAGACAAAGTAACTCTGTATCATGACAGATTGCAACCTGTAGGCAGCAGAATCCAACTCAAGGCAGCGCAAGAAAATTCCTCCAGGTATTGTCTTGAGTGACTAGAAACTCTAAGGCTGGCAGTGGCCTCCAGATGGGCTGATTTCTCGGCACTGCTAAGCCTGGCCTCTATGGGATGAACTCTTCCACAATGAGGGAAGCCCTTGTCAAGATAAGGGAAGAGACAGCTAGACTGACAAACGGAATAGCTGTCTGTGTAGGTAACAGGACATCTCCTGCTTCAGCAAGGCACACATATGATTGTCTTCTCAAGTTTATCATTGTATCAAGGCGTTGCAACATCACCACATTCTTGCTTTGGTCATGGACCAGACTGGCTGAGTCGGTCTGCTTCAGTTCTCTGATGTGTGTCTGTCAGGAGGCAGAGGCAAAAGCAGAAGACAAGTTCCATTTTAGTTCTTCCCCAAGTGATACACTTTAAAACAGCAAGAATTTGCTGTTTCTTTGTGTGTTATTTTAAGTTTTCTTAGGATACCAGAATGTTCGAAACTTAAACATTGAAGAAAAATGAATGATAAACTCACTCTTAGAAGATTAGGATTTTCAAACAATCTCCCTGGTTCTCACATTCTCGGAGCTAAAAAAGGGTCCTGAGACTTTGTCACTCACATCAGAAGACCAATCTTCCTTGATTCCATGGTCTGTTGCAATGGCTCTTGTCATCAGATGAAGTGCTGAATTCCCAAGGACAGAGAATAGATGAGGGCCCCATTTCCTATGAAATCAGAATTTGATTGTTCTCCACTGCAACCCACAGCCAGGGCTTAGTGGAAGTTGCTCCTGCAGCATCCCAACCCCCTCACCTCAGTGAAGTCCACAAATGGCTGTCTTTTTCTATTTGTCTACCTCAGGACAGGTACTGTCTATGGTGTATTAAGTCTATCTATCCTCTCTCTAGCTGTCCATCCCCCTCTACAGTCTTTCCCTGACAGCCAGTCATTAGCTGGCTTTGTCTCAAGAGCCTGCAGGAAAGTGGCTCTTGGTAACCATAGGCAACCATGAGCCCTTGCTAGCTATGTGCACTGTATTTGCAAGGCGCAATCCCCATTAACCAAGGGGATGGGAAAATGTGTTTTTAAGGTTTTCTTGTGCACAGAAGTCATTGTCTTCCTTTTCTCCCCACTCCCTGATTTCCACAGAATGACCGGTCCATGGGTGAAATGCAGATCATAGGAGGCGAGGACCTTACAACACTGGATGGAAAGGTTTGTTAATGTAACTTCTCAGGAGACGTACACTTCTGGGCACATCTTATGTGATCTTTATGTCAGGTCAGAGCTCCAAATGCTTTTCACAAGCTCTCCCGGGTTTGCTAATTCATGCAAATAGATGTGTGAGGCCCTTTATTCTCCTGTCCAAAACACAGCCAATAGAAAGAAATCTTCTAGGACGGCCTGCAGACTGTATCCTTGAGGCTTCCAAGTCCAGTCTTATTTCAGATAACAAAACCCTGGGCCCTTGCTGGGCTTCTTTCTGCTCACCTCAGAGTCACCTCTACCCCCCAAAGAAGCTTTCTCTTTTGTCCGAGTGTCTGTCTGTTGCTTTGCAGCAAGCACTGTGGTAAGGCATTTAATCAGGTTTATGGAAATGTACAATATGGTGTTTTTTAGTTCTTTGCTGAAGGGCTAATACTCCCACCCACACCCCCACATCCACACAGGCCCACCCCCACCTCCACCCCATTCCTACAGCCCCACCCACACCCTCACCCACACAAAGAGTGAAACCCACTAGACTTTGGGGATGAGTAGGGGGAGAAATACCCTATTTTTATTTGGAGTTCCAAACTTGTCCTTGACTAATTATGAAGTGAAAGGATTCTAACATAAATTCCAGGATTTCCAAGGGAGGGCTGCTTTACAAAACGGATGATCCTGGTGGAGTGATTGGAAATGCAGATTCACTGGAAGTGAAAGCAACCAGCAACTGCAGAATTTGTTTCTCTTCACCTATCCTGATCTAGCCTGAATATCCCCTCGCTACCCCCCCCAAAAAAAAAACCTTCAGCTTTCTAAATAGAAATGCTTTAATCTCTCATCCTTGGCAGCTGTTACCGTTACACAATTCCCTGGATGGGGAAAGCAGAACAGCAGCCGCATTTAATAAAAATGCATATCATAATATTTAGAACGCTACCGGTCTGCATGGACACTGACTAGAAAAACAGTTTCTTCTTCCCTTGAAGACAGCCTCATGGGTTCCAGGAGCAGTGAGTTCTGTTCTGTGGCAGCTGCAGTGACCTGGCTAACATTACTGAGCATCTTTTGACAGTACTACGATACAGCAGGAACTATCCTAGAAAAGCTAAACCACTCAAAGCAGTTTCCTGAAATCCAAAGCTTTTAACAGCCTGGAAGAGTTCTGTAAGTCATTCTAGTTTAGTTCTTTCCATACAGTTAGCACCACACACCGTCTGCATCTTGTTTGTGCTTTTGTTGAGAGGACTGTCAAAATGACAACTCTTAAAGGATTCCATTTGGGCTTCCTCTCTCCTACCATTTTGCTCTGAAGTGATTTTCCCTACAGACAAGCATACCTACAGACAAGGTTGGGGGTGGGGATGGCAGTGGGGAATGGCTTCTTATCAGCGGTGGAGTGGGCAGAAGGCTTGGCAGGTCTTGGCTTTTGGTGTCTCCTGTTGTAAATTACTGAGAGATCAAAGCTAGCGTGCATTCAGAGGGAAAGGTGAACAACTAGGAGGACAGCATACAAGTAGGATACAACCTCAACGACCTGCTGGCAAGACAGTTTCCCTCAAGCTACCCAATGCTATCTAATTATATCTATACCCTCCTGTTAGTAAAGAAACACTTCTATATGTTTAAACAGGTGCCACATAGGACCCCTTGGGACAAAACCTTTTAAGATAAACCAACAATGACTAGCCAGTCCACAACTGACAACCTCTCTCGATTCTAAAGACTGAAGTTCAGGTGCCTAGCTCCCCACAGAGGGAAGGGCTAGGTGAGGCAGGGAAGATGATCCTCACAACCACCAGATCTTCAGCTAGTCTGGGTGTTCATCTGCATTTTACCTTCCCAGCTGTCTTCCTAGTCTTAACCCCTTATTTCTCAAAGTATAGTCTAGGCAAGCAAGGTTTTCTACAAAGAGCCAAATATAAATATTTTAGAGAGTGTGGACTAACAGTCGCTGTTTCAGCTAATCAATTCTGTTGTAGCATGAGAGCAACTAGAGGTGATGCTGAAGCAAATGGATCTGTTCCAATAAAACTTGGTTTGCAAAAACAGGGATGAGGCCTAATATGGTTCTGGGACCATAGTTATTTCTAGGAGCTTTCTGGCTCAAGGTCCGCACTACCTAGGTCCATATTAGACTACCTAGGAGCTCATTAGAAATTCAGAATCCCAGGAGCCATACCAGAACTCCTGATTGCAACCTCCTAGATGATCTCTTCTCACTTCAAGGTTTGCAAGGCACTGGACATCCCACCCCAACCCACCACATCCATTGAACCACCCTCTGAGCCCAACTTGCTTTCCTGAACTTTGTCACGATATGGCACGTGAGTGTAAACCAAGGTAGGGGAGCAACAAACACACCATACAGACCAGACCAGTCCAGACCAGACCAAGCTTGTGTGGGAAGTTTTGTTGGAGGAAGGAAATGGAGTGAGGGAAGGGAAGGGAAAGGAAAGAGGGAAGGGAAGAAGGAAATAGAAAGACAGGAGAGAGAGAGAGAGAGGTAGAGAGAGGGGAGAGCTGAAGGGAGAGGCAAAGACCTGCCTGCCTCTTCAGAAGAACAAGATAACAAGAGTGGGAGCAGGCATGTTATGCCAAGTTCTCGAGACCCCAAATAGACCACCAAGGAGTGGACTCTCCAATGCAAAAAGTAAAGGTTTCTTTAATCAATTAACCAGTTAACTGTATCAACTCGGTTCCTCTGTCCATCTGACACAGGGGATGGAGCAGGAAGGACCCTGAGGGACTGAGGGGCAGGGAATTTATTGGGGTAGAGCAAGGGGAGTGTCTGGAGTCCACAATAGTCTCAAGATTGGTGCACTTCCAGACTTGGGTGACATGCCCTGTGTTGATTGGTCAACTGGTTGCTATGGCCTATAGGCCCTCCCAGTGCAGTTGCTATATTCTGTATGTCACTTTTACAGTAAAGCACATCCAAAGCCCGCCAGCTAACTTCTGATTGGTTTCTTGCCATATGATGGGTATCTGACCTCCTAGTGACAGGAAAATTGGGCAAGGTCAGGAAGTTCAACACATGTTGCTGAGTCAGAGGCCTGCCTCTTACTGGGTCTTTTCTGCAGCCTGCTATGGCTGCTAAAAAGCATGGGGCCAGGTGAGGGTCTGGTCCCTTCAGGCAGAGCTTGTCTCTTAGAGGGACTTTTTGTACCTGTATACAGAGCCAGTGTGACGCACTCTGCCATCACCTGGGTGCTAACAAACTTCAGCATCCAGTTGACTCTTGGTAGGCTTCAAAATATTATTCACAAAACCTCCCAAGGGATCTTCTTAAAATACAAACTGGGCCACACACTTGCCAATTGAAACCTTTTAGTGGCTTCTTAATTAGCAGTTGCCAGACTTAACAAAAAAAAAAAAAAAAAAAAAAAAAAAGTGGCCCAGTCAAATTTGAACTTCAAATATTGACTAAATATTCAGTATAAGTATATAGCAAACATATTTTCTGTAACTTTGTCTTGTGTGGTATTGGGGACATCACTGGTTACCTGACTTATTTGTGGTTTACTTAGCAAGCCTTCATCTGATGCTTCATAAATATAAGCCAAATTCCTGGCTATAATAAATGCTGCTTGACCTGGCTGCCCCCACCACCACATTGTCATATTTCACTGGCCTCAGGACACTGGGCCCTCACTAGCTAAATCTTTCCTACCAAGCTGTGCCTTCTTTCTGGAACCCACTTTCCTCTTCCTGAACCCCAATATCTGCTCTGTACAGCAAGACCTCCCTGCAAAGCCATCAGGAATTGATACCTGATGTGCTCTTCTACCATCCCCCAGCCCAGTATACATCTATGGAAAGCCCAATTCCCTTAGAGCCCTTCCTACAGTTTACAGTTTAGCACTTACTTAGGAGCCCCATTTTTATTTGCCTTTCCCCACCAGAAAGTCAGTGAGAAGTGGGCAGAGATCACTGTGTTTGCCATCTCATCTCCAGCATCATACATACACAGCCTGGTCCATCAAGGGTTGGAATAAATGTTGGATAAGCAGTGAGTGCATCATCTCATGTAGAAATCAGAAAGACAGTTTCAGTTAATTTTGAGCAAGGACATGGCAGAGGAGAATGCTAAATCTAAGCCAATTTGGCAAGGCCTCTGGTGGCAAGTGATGTGATCCAACTTGTATTTTAAGAACACTTTGGCTGCTTTGCAGAGAATGGTTTGGAGAGCAACAAAAGTTAATGAAGGTAGCTATGAAAGGACACATCAAACTAGCTGATTTTGTTTAGGGCTGGAGGAGAAAGGTGTTGAGTGTTCAAGAGAAGGCAAAAGGCTTCAGTACTGATGAAACTTAAAAAGGAAGATGGAAGAAGTGAATGCTGCATGGCTAAGGATAGGGGAGTGAAAATAACTGGAGCTGGGCGTATAGCAGTGGTAGGGTACTTGCCTAGGGTGTAGCAGTGTGGTACATGGAGTACTTGCCTAATTGAAGATGTAGTTCAGTGGTAGAGTACTTGCCTAGCCTTGGGTGTAGCAGTGGTAGCTAGAGTGCTTGCCTAGTTGGGGGTTAGCCCTCACGAGTCCCTAGATTGGATGGCAAGTACTACTGGGGAAAAAAATAAATAAAATTTTCATTTAACTTTAGGGATGTCCTTTTCCTTATAAGGACCTATGACAAAATACTCGAGAAGACAACTAAAGAGAGGCTCACAGTTTCAGAGATCTCAGCCCCGTTTGGCTCCATTGCTTTAGTCATATGGTGAGGCAGAACATGATGGTAGAAAGGCATGGAAAGACAGGAAAGGCTGGGTGAGAGAGGGGGAGTCTTCTGAAGCAGGACATACAACTCTTATCAGAGACATGTCCCTGTACCATTCTGCCTCTAATAAGGCGCCACTTCCAAATAGCATATTGATGAAGTTAGGTCCTCATGACACAGTCACCTCTCAGTAGTGCCACCACCTGGGCACAAAACCTTCCACACAGGAGCTTTTGGGAAGACAGTTTATGTTCAACCCTTCACCTGTTCAGTCTTGTCTGCCCAAGA